GAAATCTTTGCAAGAGCTTGAGACTGCCATAAACACTGAACACGAAGGGGGGTGTTTGAGTAAAGATAACCAGAGGAGTGTTCAGTTAAAGGATGCTCTGGGCAGGGTAGAGGGGACTGAGGGGAAGACACATGCATTCATCATCATCTGAGGGACAGACACCTCTGTGTGCTGGGAATATAGCTGTGAACTCAGCCACCCAATCCTCAAGTTTCCTGTGTGGTGTCAGTGCCTCAAAGGAGGATGTCCAGGATGGCTAGTACATCTGGGCACACAGTAGGCTGGGGAAGGCTTCCCAGAGAAAGAGACATTTCTGCCGAGAAGTTACCCAGGAAGAGATGGGTGTTGGGAAATATGGTGGGCAACAGGATGCCAGGTGCAGCCCCTGACCTTGCTTCAAGGTGTCCACTGTTAGAACACAACAGGGCTACATGAGGGACACGGCCCCTTGCAGACCCAGCAAGTGTGTAGCCTGTCCGTCCTCAGGCCTACATATGGGTAAGTTCAAAAGATGAGAAAATGCTCCCTTTCACTTTTTGGGCACAAGCAAAAGGGAGGCCTAGCTGGGCTGCTCCGTGAGTGCTGAGGCATGCTTGGCCCTGAGATGGAGGCCTGCCGGGGCAGCATCACAGAGTAGTGATTGAGGGTTTCGAGCTTGCCTTTGGGGAAATTCCTCTCAGAAGCTGCTGTAGAATTCCCACAGAGCTGCTCTGCAACTCAGCCTTCTTGCCTTTCACAGGCGACGCAGGCCTGCATGTCTGCCTCTGCTATTTTTGCCTGTGGGTCCCTGTCTGATATTAAATATTACCATGGTGAGTGGCACTTTCATAGCGTTTCAGATAATAATTCAATGTGCAGAGGTCTTTTGTGTTCTGGCACTGATGAGAGTGGGCCAGGGCCTGTCAGAGCGATGACTAAACCTGAGCAGGCTGGATTAAGGAGGAGGCCTACATGTGGCTCTGGGGACTGCCCTGGCTGAGCCAGGGAAGAGACCTGTTAGGCACTGAGCACATTTCTAGAAGTGTGCTCCCCCTGCTTCACACCATACTAAAAGGTGTTTTGTGAGAAAGGGACCCCAAGGTCAAATTCATTTAGGAAATAATTGATTAAAAAAATGTTGAACAAGTTTCCTGGCTTTGAGCCTTTGGCCTTTCGTGTGTGGATGGCATTGAACATCTCCACAAAGCAGATTCCATTAGAAATTCAGAGAAACTTCCTGACAACGGTTTCTCTAGCTCCTCACACTGAGAGTGGAGGCTGAAGGCCTCCCCTGGCCTGGCAGGTGCTGGGGAACCACAGGCAGACACGATTCTGACGAATACAGCCTAGTTAAATCGACACGTGTCCTTCCTGCCTTTGGCATCATTCTGCCTTCTTTTCTCTTATAAAATCTTTCTGCCAAACCCAAGAATCCCAAAGATGGAGATTTGAGACAGAAATTTCTCCTATTTCTTCCTCAAAGCTGGCTTTGAATGAAACCATTTTTCTTGCTTCCTGTCTCCCAAGTTTTAGTGGAGCCACAAGTGGTAAAGCCATTCTTCTGGAAATATCCAGGAGCAGAATGCAGCACTGCATGACTGGGACTCTCCCCGTTGGAAGAATGAGATGACACACAGCTTCCCTGGGGATGTCATAACTACTACCACCATTGAGTACCTTAAAACAGTAGAAATTTGTTCTTTCACAGTTTGGAGGTTAGAAATCCAAAATTAAGGGGTTGGCAGGGCCATGCTCCCTCTGAAGTTTCCAGAAAAAGGATCCTTTGTTGCCTGTTCCATGCTTTTCTGGTGGCTGTGGTGATCCTGGGGCCTCCTTGGTGTGTAGATACCTCACTCCAATCTGCCTCTCATCATGTGGTGTCTCCCTATGTCTCTGGCTCTCACATAGCCTGCTGATTAGGACATCAGTCCTTGGATTTAAGTCCCACGCAATCCAGGCTTATCTCATCATAACTGCATCATACCTACAAAGACCCAATTTCCAAATAAGTCCATTTCACAGTAACTGGGGGATGGACTTGGATACATCTTTTAAGGAGGCACTGTTGAACCCGCTATGGATGGGTCAGAAAGAAAATGAAGAAGCAGGAAGCAGGGCACAGGGTGACTCAGTGAATAGACTTCCTAGCCAGATCTCACTTTCTACAATACCTGGCTGTGATTTCCAACAAGGTAGTAAGTGCAATCTCCCCAGACTCACCTTTTGCATCCATATGCAAAAGTGTTAACTCCTATCCAGGGGATTATTATAGGACTAAAGACCACAAATATATTTAGCATAGACCCCAGTGCAAGGGAACATATTAAGGGCAGGAGATGACATGGTCAGGGTAGTTTTCTGGGAGGCCAACAATTACTCTGATTTCTATAAGGAGGATGGGTGAGCAGAGGTGAGACTTGCTTTCATCTTGCTGGGCCCCATTTTGGGTGCATTCAAGGAAATACTCCACAGAGCCTGGCGAGGTTTTTAGCACCCTCTCCCCTCCCCCGTTTCCTCCTGACCTGCAGGAGAGATGGGGAAAGCACGCCCTGACCAGGAAGGAGCCAAGAAAGGCAAAGGTCGACTGGCCACCAACACCCAGCCCTCCCTCTCCGGAGGACAATCAGGCATACCAGGGAGACCAGCCAAAGCAGGATCTCTTTCATTGAGGAAGTACACACAGCTAATATAATGCGCAGAAACCAATCAGGATAAAGGTCAGAGGGGTGGAGCGAGTTCACGTGTACACCCATCCCATGGTCTGTAAGGGAAAGCACAACCTATCCATGAGGGCTGAAGAGTCCTGGACCTCTCCTGGAGGTGGTCTGTTTTTCCCGACACCACCCATAGCACCACCTCCTGGCTGATTGCCGGGCGCCATCCCAGCCACATGTGCAGCCCCGAGACCAGGAAGCAGACGGCAAGTCATGCCCTACAAGAGCCCACCTGACCACAGAGCAGGAGTGCCTGGATCTGGGCCACTATGAGGCTCTGTGAGAGAATGAAGCATGGGCTGTCTGTCCATCTGTCAATCAGATACCACCATGGATGTGAGCGAAGCCACCAAGCATGGAAGTGATAGTCCCTTGTTGTGTCTCTCACAGGATAACATGGGGAATGGATGACAAAGTGCACAACAAAGAGCTTTGTCCTATGCAATTCAGTCTTCAAAGTGTGGGTAAGGGTAAGATGTGCTCGTTCAATCAAGGATAGTTTGATAGGAGTATGAGTAATTCCATGGGTTAAAATTGTATTCCAATGAGTACTAAATTGTGCAAAATCACAGGGCATAAATGCAGGCATGTTATCTGTTTTTAAATAAGCAGACTTGCCCATAGTGGCAAAGCAGAGTAATAAATGAGAATTGTAAGCAGATAATATTTAGATCAATCTGCAGTAACACAAATAAACCCAGAATGAGTATCAGTGGAAATATGAAGAAAGGAATAAGGATGAAAAGAAGGAAAATGGGTTAATGCCCATTTGCCTAAGTGCTTTAGAAATGTATAAATTAAGGGCACAGAAAAATATTTTATACCCAAAGAATGGTTAAAATAAAAAGACGTTGACACCATATGCTGGTGGGGACAAAGAACAACTGAGATTCTCTGACATTATGGTGAGAATGTAAAATGGTAGAATGGCTTTATAAAACAGATTGAAAATTTCATATTTACACATGTTTATAAAATCACCAAGTGTTTCTATTCCTAAGTAATTATACAAGCATCCTCGGTTCCCCATCTCCTGGAGGTCATCCTAAGGTTGGGGTAGGAAACTGCTCTGGCCCCAGGGCTGCTATAAGGCCACATGGTAGTTGGCTGAGTTAGTAATCAGAAGGTTAGTGCCACCTGGTTGGACCCAGGGAAGTCAACATAGTTTTTCTTTGGCAGGGGGTTCTGTTTGTGGCTTCTGGACAGTAAGGGGTACTTCTGTGGATGGTCAAAGCCAGGACTGAAACAAAAACCCTTTCTTAGAAGTGAAATTAAGTCTTCAGCCTGAGGCTTAGTTCAGGTCTAATCCTGCAGAGAACCTGAGTGTTTTCTTTGCATTTATGACTCTACACAGCCACCATAACTGAAATAATAATAATAATTTGAGGCAGATCATCAGTTAAATGTAAAACATATTCTACAAGGGGAAAACAACCTCACAATCTTGGAGTCGCTGAAGATTTCTGAGACAGGATACAAAAGGCACTAACCATAAAAGGAAGTGGAATGATCTGGAAATCAAAAAGTAAAAGTTTCTGGTTTTCATCATCAAAGAACCCATTAAGCCACACATGGAAAAAATATTTGAAATACATATGTCTAATAAAGGAATTATAACCAGAATACATAAAGACCTCTGTAGCTTGGTCAAAATAAAAAGATGAGCCAGTTTGGAAGATGAGAACAAATATCTCACAAAAGAATGGGATGTGTGGAGTGTCCAGCAAGCTGGTAAAAGGGTGATCAAGATCATCAGGCATCAGAAATAATTCCTATGACGTCTATGATAAGTGTCAACAGGGCTGCGGATGAAGCTCAGTGGTAGAGAGCTTGCCTAGCATGCAGAAGGCCCTGGAGTTTAACCTCCAACACTGCAAGAAAAGGAAAGGGAGAAAGAATAAAGGACAGAAAAAGAGAAAGGACTGGGGGGGGAGGGGAGAAAGGAATGATTCATTAAAAGGGCAAATGATACAAATATAAGTATATGATTTACTAGCTCTTTAAAAATTTTACAAAGTATAGAATTTTCGTTACATCAAACTGGGTAATATTATGACTGTATAGAACACACATAATAAGTTCTGCCCTCACCTGGCCTAAACCAAATCAACAGGTAGGTGACCTGGAGAGGACTCCTCTCTGGCTCCACTGGGACAGGCTTGAACCTGCGCTACTTCAGGATGCACAGCCTAGGGGAGGGGCCCAGACTTCCCTGACAGGCAGTGTGTGCGTGCTAGGCCCCTGGGAGACCATGACTGGGGCTCCCATGCCCATGCCCACAGTGCCCCCCACCCTCACTGGTTCACGATGGTCTGCTCCGTTGCCTGGTGCAGGTTTATATTCCTGACCAAAGGCCTGAGTGTCCATAGCCTCTTTTGGCTGGGCACGGTGTGGTTGTGGAGGAAATAGCCAAAGTAGCCTTACCGTGATGGAGGGGCAACAGGTGCCCCTCAGCCATACTTGGGGGTGGTCCTGGAAGAAGTAAGCAGGGTTGTGGTGTGCCTTGTCTGAAGACATGGAAACACACCCTAGTCCTTATGGCTGTCCATGGGAGTTGGGGATACGTACAGCTATTGGATTTTTTGTTGTTGTCTTGTTTTTGTGGAGAAGTTTTCAGTCTGTGAGAAGCAGGCTTTACTTGAGAAGAGAAAAAAAACTTTCTGAAATAATTGAGAAAAAATGTGGACTGCTTGAAAAAGTCAGTCTTGTCCAAAAAGAATATGAAGGCTTAGAGTCATCTTTAAAGAATGCCATTTTGGAGAAGGAGGCAATATACGCAAACCTGGATAGGTCCCTATCTAAATTTGAGGAAGAAATACTCTTTCTAGAAGAAGAGCTAAAAGAAGAGAAAACTAAACATTCTCAACAGGATGAATTGATAGAGTATATATCAAAAAGGATGAAGTCCCCAGAAGAGGAATCAAAATCCCTCAGTTCACATATACCTGAAGCTACAACAACCTTAACAATATTTCACCTGAATGCAGAAGGACTGAAGGTACCAATAAAAGAAGTTTCAAATGAAAATTCCCAGCTTCTGGAAAGTCAGAAACAGCTTTTACACGAAGGGGAAGTATGGGAAGAAGAAGTGAATGGCCTTAATCATCAGAAAACAACACTTGAAGACTCCAAAGAACATGAAGAACAAGTTCTAAGAGAGAAAGAAAATCACATTAAGTCTCTGTCTGAACACTTGCTGAAAGATTGGGCTCCTGTGCTTGAAGAAGACCTAACAGACGATGGTAACTTGGAGTTGGAAATGAAAAGTGAATCAGAAATCGGTGCTCACTTAGAGGATCAGCCAAAAGGAGATTTGAAGAAACAGCTTTATGCTGATAAGTTAAATTCCTCTTTTAAAATCTTAGAAGGAGAAAGAAATCAAGTTTTTACTTTAGTATCTGAAGTCGTTGAAACAAAGGAAGACCTTATAGAAGAGATTAAAAATCTTAAGACAGAACAAGCATCTCTGCAGTCAAAAAATACACAATTGGAAAGTGAGAATCAGCATCTTGAACAGAAACTTAAACTCATCATTGAAGTATATGAAGCAATTGTAATGAAACTCCAGAGGAAAGTAAGAGAAGAGGAAAATGACCGGGTAGTGCAAGAGGAGAAACTTTTCAAAATGGAGGAAAACATCAGCCATGCAAGTGAACAGCTTAAGACCTATAGAAAGCAAGTCAAAGACCTTGAAGAAGAATTAGAGAGAACCACTTATTTTTATCAGGGGCAGATTACACACTATGAGGAAAAAGCACAAGATAATGAGTGGGCAGCTCAGAGGGCTGAAAGATACCTCAATGATTTAGGGAAACACGAGGCTCACGACAGTCAAAACTTCACCGAAAATGAGTTTAAATTTTAAAATGATCCTTCTGCACTTCATGTTTCAAATACAGCCATTGGCAGAGAGCATTTCCCAGATGGTCCCTCACCATTGGGTCGACCTTCATCTGAAATGAGAGCTCCACTTCTGGGAAAGGAGGGTGCACTCAGACTCTCACCTTTGCTTCCACGGGTAGGAGGAAGAGGCTCAAGAGGCCCAGAGAATCCTCTGGGCCCTCAAATTATCAATGAAAGAAGAGAATCCGGCTATGATGGGATAACTGATCATCAGAGAGTGCCTTATAACATTAGGCCCCTGTCATCTCCATGGGAACAGAACCCTAAGATGATGACGGCTCCACCAGGCCAACCATATTGTGATCTGCGTCTTCCTCTACCAAGGCAAGATGGATGTGATTCTAATTACGGTGGACCCTCGGGACCAGCAGAACTCAGAAGTTCTACTCTGCCGCCTTTGGATCAAATGGATGGGCCTATGTTTTCTGAAATGGAATCCAGTAGAAATGATTCCAAAGTTGATCTTGATAATTCCAATGTGCCCGATTCATCTCTCCCTGCTGAAAACCAAGAAACTGCCTCTGGCTTTGCTTTCTCACCTTTCCCTCCAATCAGAGGTCCATTGTTTCCAGTGGATCCAAGGAATCAGTTCAGTTATGGTGGTTTTCTAGAGTCATAAGTGCTAAGAAAACACTCAGGTTCTCTGCAGGATTAGACCTGAACTAAGCCTCAGGCTGAAGACTTAATTTCAGTTCTAAGAAAGGGTTTTTGTTGCAGTCCTGGCTTTGACCATTCACAGAAGTACCCCTTACTGACCAGAGGCCACAAACAGAACCCCCAGCCAAAGAAAAACTATGTTGACTTTCCTGGTTCCAACCAGGTGGCACTAACCTTTGATTACTAACTCAGCCAATCACAGTGTGGCCTTATAGCAGCACTGGAACCAGAGAAGTTTCCCACCCCAACCTTAGGATGACCACCAGGAGATGGGTCACCGAGGATTCCCTCTGAAGTTCTGCCCTCTGAAGCCCAGCTAGTTCTTAGGAGCCTGGCCACATGACAATTTGGAAGAGAGCATGATGTGGGCAGCGCCCTGGGGCTGGATGGAGGCAGATGGTCCAGAGGGGCTGAGGCCTGAGCCCAGCAGACATCAGAGCCCCCAGCATGACCCTACCTGCCTAGCAGAGACAGAGTGATATGGGAGCTTGGGCCAGAAGGTGTAGGAAGTCATGGGATAAGAGGCGAGGCCCTGGGAGATGGTGATTTTAGGAACGAATGCTGGTAGCATCCTCAGCCTGAGAGAGCCTTCCCAGGAAGCTCACCCCACAGCTAGTGCCTATGAGCTGTATTCTTACTGCTCTGAGGACACAGCAGAGATGGACTTCTCTCAGCCCTGGGAGAAGGTTGCTGAGTGTTCTCTGTCTGTAAAGCTCTTGCCTGCACCTCAGTGTCCTGCTTGTCTACATGCTCCAGGTGGGACATGGCGGCAGTTGAATCATGGCGCTGGCATGTGAGGTGGGGGGTACAGCAGGGGCTCATGGAAGGGCAAAGTCCAACTTCCTGCAAAGGGAGCTTCCTCTTGGGCACTCTTTTACTGGCCCAGCTCCTCAAGGAGAGGAGGGGCTCTGCTGAGTCACAACTAGTGAATGGTGGCACATGGATTTGAGTCTGGCAGTCTGACTCCAGAGTCATGAGATATCCCCAGGAAACCAACAAACCAAAGGTGCCTGATGGCCCCCTTGGTTCCCTGAGCCACCCCAGGGCAGAGCAGGAGCCTCTGCAAACACACAGACAACGGGGCTCTCAGATGGCCCTCCACAGGAATAATATTGGAGGCCTTAAGTGGGTAGCAAGAGCTGAGCAGAGGGCAGGCTGTGTCACCTCTTTCCTGAGGAGGGAAGCATCACCTGAGGTGACCTGAGACTTGCTGGGTTTATCCACAACTTCAAGTTTTTAAAAAGCCAAGTTTCCTCTCCCTGGGTCTCTGGAAGAGGCTCATTCCAGCATCATTTTTGTTCAAATGATTTTGGATGTCAATTGTCTGTCTTTAATGAGCCCAGAAATTTTCATAATTATCCTTTTTTTCCCCAAAGCCATAATTATAGGTTAGAGTATATGCTACAGGCAAGAAATTTAAATAGAGCTTTTTACACACTTAAGCATTCTGCTTCTTCTTTCAAAAAACATTTTTTTAAAGAGGGCTTCCAATTATCCTTCTGTTACCTTTGTTCCCTTCCTGAGGTGATCGCTGGGAGATGCAATGGTCATTGTCAATGGTAATTGTCCAGAGCCTCATCCCCAGGTGGCATCCCCAGCTCCAGGCCCATCCATCCCCCTGCTCCTTCAGTTGACACCCAGCTCTCCTATGTCTGCGCTGAGACTGGAAGGAGGTGGGAAGGGTTGGGTAGAGCTGCTCCTCAGGTTGGAAGGCCCAGAGTAGCCCCAAAGCACAATGGAGACCTCCCACAAGTACCCAGGAAATGAAGGAAAGAAGCCCCAGTAGCAGGCGCTCCCCAGGTGGGTCTCTCGGAGTTGAACCTGCATCCAGTGAAAATCTGGGACCTGCCCCAGTTCTGGGGCATAGATCTGAATTGGCATGCAGGTGGAAGGCCCAGCAGAATAGGACAAGGGGCTCAGGAGATCATGATTCTGGATTCAACCATTCATTCACTCAGCCTTCACCAAGCATCTCTGTCCTTCTGGAATTTTCTACCAGGCATCTCTTTCTCTTCCCTCATGCCTAACTGTGTTTCTGGCCTAGAATTTGGCACTTGGGGCCAAGACTAATGAGGCTCAGGTCTCTCTCACCTAGCACACTTATGCTTCCAGACAGTATCACCAAGTTTAAATCAAAATATTCCCTGGAGGACTCAGCCTCCTATTGTGTCCTCAGCTGGAAGCAAGGGGAGGGCTTTATCCCATTCCCCTTTGATTCACCCCCATGAGCCAAGGGTTCTTTCTGCAATGTTTTCCACTAACACTCCCTGGCATTCCCTGATTTTTCCACACTGAACTCGTTCCACGGCTCTTTCCAGGGCTTGTACTGCATTCTGGACTTTTCACAATTGCCCTGGGTCTTAGAAGTTACTGCTAGACCCATTTGTGAACAATGAAACTGAGGCTCAGAGAGGTCACTTTGCAGCCATGGGCCTCTAGCCCACATATCTCATCCCTGGCTTTGCTTTAAGTCCTAGTAAAGGTTAGAGACTGCAGGCTTGTGTCCTCTTGGGTTACAACAGGTTGTCTCACCTGTGAATGGGCAGAGGTCCTGCTTTTGGTGAGAATTCTACATTTTCTCTCTTGCCCAGTGACTAAGAATTGACCTCCCTTCCTCCCAGAGCTTCTGGGAATTTGTTTACTTCTGAACTCAAGAGCCCCTATCCCAGGGAGAAGGTCAGGACAGGAGCAAAGGCATGTGGCCAGCATCAGAGGAGATACTCCCAGGAGCCTCTGTCCTCTGGCTGGGCTCCAAGAGGAAACACAGCCGCCTCCAGCACAGGCGGAGGAGGAAGGTGCCAGCACAGCTGCCCGAGGTGGGGGGCCGGCCAGAGAGAGGCCCCTGTGGATGGAAGCAGCTCAAAGCAGCTCATTCTGTGTGAAGCAGAGGCTGAGGGAAAAGGGTGGTGCTAGGGCTGTGCACACATCACTTTGGCACACAATCTGCAGGAGGAATGAGGTTGTGCCCATTACAGCTCCCACCCCATAAAGCCTGCTGGGAAAACACAAGGAAAGAAGATGATCCTCTAGTCCCAGGAATCCTAGGAAAGGTCCTTCCCTTGTCCAATTCTTATTGAGAACACACTCTGCACCAGGCACCAGGTCTTGGCCATAATAGGTCTTCTAGAGCGAGACTGACAATAATCAAGGAAAAAAGTAACTAACACAATTGTTTCAGATAGCTAAGAAGACAAGCAAGGTTATATGAAGCAATCACTGGAAAGGGAAAGCAACTCCTTGAATCTGGCTGGTCAGGGAAGGTATCTGTATGGAGGGACCCTTGAGTTGACCAAAGCAGTTAACCCATACAAATTCAAGGAAGAGTGGCAGAAAGATGCAAATTGTAAATCAAAAGAGCTTTGAGAAGGGGAGTAGCTCACGGCCTTATATACTGTGGGGCTAAGAGGTGGAATTTTGCACCAAGAGACTACAGAGAATTAAATTTTGAAATAACCATCTGGCTGCCAGATAGATAATGAAATTCCAGGGAACAAAAGCCCAAACCAGACGGTGGGAACTGAGAATTCTGATTTTAATATTATCATCTGCAGCTATTGCCTAGTAGGCACGTACATCCCTAACTGCCCAAGAGGTATTCTCCTAGCAGGAAGAAGCTGTTTTCATCTCCATACACCTCAAGGTGAAGACCGTTCACATAGTTTCAGGCTCTGCAGTGAGGACTGGGCCTCGGAAGCCTGCGTGGGTGGGAGACATCTGTATACTCGGTGGTTCAATAAAAAGCCTTAATACAGCACACCAGGCCGCCCAGGGGACTGGCTGCGTTTCATCCAGAAGCCAAGAGTCCTCTTTAAAGTCTCTGCCTGCCCCTGTGCAGGCCCCGCCATTGTTCCTGCCCACCGTTGTGGCTGTCTGACTTCCTCTGAGATGCTTTGTCCAGAAAGACACCCCTGGCAGGGCCAAAACAGTGAGCTCCCAGCCTGGAGTTCAGCAGCCACACCCTCTAAGCAGTCTTTCTCATGAACCCTTTGGTGAAGAAGTGCTCTTTCTCTGGAATGTTCCATCTTACCAATCTCAGAAACCCACAAAACAAGGGATCCAAGAGGCTGATTGTTTTTCTGGAAAGCCGGGGAGACTCATCTCCCACATACCCTCAAACACTGTGAGGAGAGGGGGATGCTGCAGGCCCATTCAGACTGTGAACAGTGACTTCCGGTGGCCATTTCTCTCTTCCTTTCCTCTAGCAGGATCTCTCTCTCCCATGGCAGGCACTCAGACAGGCTGCTGTGAGGCCAGGATGGCAGCTATGCTTCACTTTCATCTCAATTCTACTCCAGTGATAAGTGGCTACTTTGAGAATGGTGTTAATAGGGCCTCAGATCATGTCTTGGCACAAGAAGAAAGAGTGAGCAATAGATTAGTCTTTTAAAAGTCTTCTTCTGTCCTGAGCACAGAAGAAGACTAAAGGTGCACCTGTCATTTATCTTCCAGTCCTATAAAGGCTGGAAAGCTTGGTGACCTCAGCAAGAGACCTGGCATACCACTGCATCTTCCTCTTCCTGCTGCAGAGAACCACTAGGCAGAACAGGTCCCAGTATTCCAATCAGCTCACCTCAGGGTGGGGCTCACAGGATAATCCCTACCCGGGAGAATTGTCTAGCACTACTCAGGCCTGACTCATTCCTTTCCTTGATTGGATGCCAAATTTTCTATTTATATAGCAACTAAAACAGGTTTCAAACCCAGAATCCTCTTGGGGAGGCATTCTCTACAGTAGACTACACAGCCTTCAGATCCCACTTAGTATACCAAGCTTAATGGTAGGTGTTTTAATTAATTATAAATTGAAGGAAAGTATGAATCTAGACAAAAAGCTATGAACACTTCAAATTATTGAAATTTTCCTCATGAAAGCAGTATGGAGATTCCCTGGAAAACTTGGAATGGAACTACCATTTGACACAGCTATCCCACTTCTCGGTTTATAACCAATGGACTTAAAAA